CTATAGAAATGCAGGGATAGTACTGATTTTCTCTTTATTTCCTTCTGAGGAAGTGTAATTGTTCATTGCATTGTTCCTAGTCAGGAATCAAAACAGAAATCACTCCCCTATTTTAAAAGTGCTAGTTCTGAGCTGCATGACTGAAGGATGTCTAAACAAGTGGTTAAACTTTGGGCCCCAATCCAAAGAGCTGAGGTTATTGGTGGGGTCTCAGTCCCAAACAGTGTATAGAAAGGAGCTCTGGAGAGAAGCCTAGTCAGGAGGCTGGGACAGGCAGAAGTGGGGTGAACCTAGGATTCAGGGCCCCAAGTCTAGGAGCCACCAGGTGGGGAGGGGAGGGAATGATGGTGCCCCATGTGGCAGGTACTATACATGCAGTCTCTCATTTAATAATTCCAATGGTCCTCTGAAGTTGTTACTTTTAGTCCCATTTTATAAAGAGGAAAAACAATCTATGAGGTTGGTATTATCCCTGTTTTACAGATAAAAGCCCAAAGTAGGTGTATTAGTCTGTTCTCACATTTCTATAAGGACATACCCATGACTGGGTAATTTATAAAGGAAAGAGGTTTAATTGACTCACAGTTCCGCAGGACTTGGGAGGCCTTGGGAAACTTACAATCATGGTAGAAGGGGAAGCAAATACATCCTTCTTCACATGGCAGCAGCTAGGAGAAGTGCAGAGCAAAGTATGGGGGAAGCCCCTTATAAAACCATCAGATCTCATAAGAACTCCCTCACTATCACGAGAACAGCATGACTCAATTACCTACCACCAGGTCCCTCTCATGACATGTGGGGATTATGAGAACTATAGTTCAAGGTGAGATTTGGGTGGGGATACAGCCAAACCATATCAGTAGGTAAGAAAATTGTTCAGCTAGTAAATTTAGAGGCAGAATTCAGACCTGGGTGGGCCTAACTCTAATGTCTGTGCATATTCTGACTCTATAGGAATTGCCTCAGGTGCTGGGAAGCCCAGACCCCAGTGATGTGGGGCACTTGAGTAGCTCATTCTGTGGTGAGCTGGGCTGTGCAAGGGCTGCTGAAATGGTAATGAATATGAAGATCAACTTGCTGGCAGCAGACCAAGTGGCTGGTCAGCAGCATCAGAACCAAACACTAGGAAAATTTGGCCCCTGTGAAAAGACACTTTACTAGTAAAGTGAGCAAAACATACAAACAGGCAATTCATAGCAGAGAAGAACCAACCTGCAAAAAACAAAAGCCAAAACAAACCAAATCAAAGCAAAATAATGATATTAAAAGTCTCTCAACCTCATTACTAAGTGGAGACATGCAGGTTAAAATACAATTTTTATGCCTATAAAATTGGCAAAAAAATTAAAGATCTGCCAATATCAAGTATTGGGAAGAATCTGGTGTTGAGTGTGATTATGTATTGCTGGTGGGAGTAAAAATTACTACTACCATGTTGCAAAACAATTTGGCAATACCAATAAAGCTAAAGATGTGGAAACACTATGCCCTAGGAATTCCACTCCTATATTGGGACCTCTGAAGAAACTGGCACATGTGCACTAGAAGACATTTAGAAGAACATTTATAGCAACACTATCCATTATAGCAAAAACTGGGAAGCCACTCAAACACCCATCGATGGGAGAATGCATAAATGAATTGAAATTGATTTATACAATCAAATACCATACAACAGTGAAAATAAATGAATCATAGCCACATGGAACAACAAGAAGAGGTTTCATAAACAAATGCTGACTGGAGAGAAAAGTAAATTGCTGTATTCAACATGATACCATTTATGTCAAGTACAAATCTTGTTAAACTAATAGTAGATATGTGCAATAAACCTCTCAGGAAAACAAGGGAATTATTTGCATAAAACTCAGAGTAACAGTCCATGCAACAGAAGAAACCAGAGGTATAAGATCAAGAAAGGTGTGTCGGGGACTTTCTTGATTTTATTTCTTAGAATGTCTGGATGTTAGGCATATACATCTACACATACAGGTGTTCATTTTATTATTTGTTATAACTTATTCATTATCATTCATTATTCATTATATTATTCATTATGTTTATCTATCTATCTATCTGTCTGTCTATCTATCTACCTACCTATCTATCTGCCTCTTTTGAAGGGATAATTAATAAGTTACCAAAAGAGATCTGAAGCATATAAAACAAATTGCAAGGAAAGCAAGACAATGGGCAATTGGCAATTGTATAGACAGAACTCCACAGATCCTCTGGAAACCAAAGAACAGTGAAGGAATCAGGCTTACATCAGGATGGGGTCACTTTTCTGGGGTCAGGATTTGATTTATGTTCTCATGCTGGCTGTTTCTCCAATGCTGCCTTTTTCTATAACTGCCTTTGCTCACAATAGCTCCTCCATCTGCAGTGCCATTCCTTTAGCTTTGCTTGTCTGAAGTGTGTCCTTAAGTATTAGATCAAATTTTACTTTCTTGTATTTATTTTCTACTTACAGAAAGCCTACTACATGCCAGACCTGGAGCAGCCAAGAGTTAACAAGCTGTGGTCCCCAGGCTTGCAGAGATGGCAGGGGAACAGGGGAGCAGACAAAGGAGCAGAGAATCACACTATAGCAGTGCTTTTCTGAATTGCTGGCACATAAAAGTCAGCTGTGGAGCTGTTAAAAAGCAGATTCTCAGGTGTCCCTGGCAATTCTGGTAGACTAGGTCTGGGTGGGGTACATTAACTTGCTCTTAAGAAACTCTCCCTGAATTTGATACAGCTGGTCCACAGACCTCACTTGGAGAAACGGCCTGTTGGTGTGATAAATGCTGCAATAATTGCAAAGGTACTTGGGCATGGGAGCCCCAAAGAGGGCCACATCTCCCACCTGAAGCATGGACATTAAGTCAGAGTAGCTTCCAGGAGGCCTCTCTGTAGAGCATCCTCATTTGTTATTTGTAGATATGAGTCAACTCCCTCCACTGCAGGGAACACTGTTCCCTGGTTTACCTTTGCTCCAGCACAAGGCTTGGCATGCAGTATATGTCAGGAATGTTTTATTCAATGGGATTTCAGAGCAGCAGGCTGGACTAGGGAGCAGGCCTAATAGCCAGGCCTTGGGCGGCAGCAGACCCTAGGAACCATCAACTTCTTGATCTCTCTGGTGTGTTTAGATTGGCCTGTCTCCAAGTATGTGTTGGGGACTAGGGAAGGTTACTGGTTTGGGTCTGACTGGTATTCACATCTGAGCTGGGGACTAGGATAGCATCTACAACCAAGTTGAGATTAAGGAGACAAGATTGATTGAGACATTTCCCCATCAACGACCCTATAACTTCTTAGCAATCAGCTTTATCTGTGCTACAAGGAGGAAAGGGATGAAGGCCGGATGGGGCAAGAGGTTTCTTATGTTGGCAATAGGGCTGCTTCCTGCTTCTAGCCCCCGCTTCCCTTCCCTTTTCTAGGCCCAAATGAGGCCCCTCTCTGAGGGCCTGTTAGTTAAACACCTGGCATGAGTCCAGTCCTGCCAGGGACTGCCTGGCTGCTGTTTGTTCCCTTTTATTAAGCACATCCAGGTGAGTTTTATTGCGGACAGTTCCCTGGGCTCCTGTTTCCACATTTGTCTCCTTTGAGCCTGAGATTGCCAAAGGCTTTCACAGCTAATGGACCTTACAGCTCCCAAGAGCCATTTAAGGGAGGCACAGAACTCAGTGGTGGTAATTAGTCAAACGAAACGCAGGCCTCTGGAAGCCCACTGGAGCTAAGTGGCAGGAGGATGTAGGGATAGAAGCCTTGGGTCTGTGGCAGGTGTAGGGAACGAGCATGAGCTGCACCTCCCCCAACCTCTCCTGTTCTTCACCTGCCTCGTCCCTACCTCGCACTCCTAAGCCGAGAAGGACTTGGTGCTTGGTAGCAGGGTCCCCAGGCAGGCTGTTGTCCAGGGCATCTGAGGGTCTGCAGTAGCACGGCGGAGCTAACCTTGACAAGCTCCTGCCTTCTTTTTCTCTAACAAGTCTTGTATACTGACCCTGATGGAGGCTGGGGTCTGAGCTCAGGTGCCACTTCTTAGTAGGCAGGATAATACCCTGTTCAAAACCTGGGCTTTGACACCAGACCATTGGGTTCAAATGCCAAACCAACTGCTTTTAAAGTTCTTGATCTGGGGCAACTCTATGAACCTTTCTGTGTCTCAGCTTTCTTGTCTGTAAAATTGAGATAATAATACTGATCTTAAAGGGTTATTGTAAGGAGTAGATTGTATAACATCATGTGCACTCTACATAGAGCAGTGCCTGGCACACTATAAGCACGTGCTCAGCAGCAGCTGTTATCAGGCCAAGAGCAGGTCTGACTTGGACAGAGCTTGAAAACATGTTCTTATGTGGAACTCATGTCCCACCAGTTTTAGGTTTGCCTCTCACTGGCTGCGCACAGAAAGCAAGGCCCCCAAGGAAGCAGCCCCATTTCTATGGGGAAAGATGGCGGAGGACAAGACAGGGAAGAGAATACTGAGCTCATCCTGTTGCTAAATCAGAGGAAGGGAGAAAGGAACCAGCATTTCTTGAGCATCTCTTCTGGATCAGGCATTGCCTGCTTTATCTCTTCAATCCCTCAATACCCTGTTGAAGTGTGAGGAAATAGAATCTCAGAGAGGCTAAGTCACAGAGCAAAGAAGAGGGGTCCAAAATTGGAGCTTGGGGATGTGAAATTTCTAAGTAGCTGTTCTTTCTATGGCAATTTGCTGTGGTAGATAACCAGGGCCCTGTCTCTGGACATGTGACTTTATGTCTGCTATTTAGAAGACCCACGGAAGTTTACTGCTCTCTGCTTGACTCAAAGAAGAGGCCTCCAGGTGCCAGAATTTGAGTCGTTCTGAGGGCCTTGTCACTGGATTGTCCCTGGCTCTACATGGGGTCCTGGGCTGTTCTGGGAAGGCAGAGCTGGCTTCCATGAAGGGGGGCCTGTATTTGTCTCATTAATGTCATGGGCAGTGGTGTCTTCCTAGGGTTCACAGGGAAGCTCCCTCTCTCCATCTGCAGGTGGATGGCGTTCTGTGCTTGGCCAACATCCTGACTGACGACAGCCACTCAGAGGCCACACGGGCTGAGGCTGCGGCTGTGGTGGCCCAGGTCACCTCCCCACACCTGCCTGTCACCCAGCACCTCAGTAGCTTCCTGGAGAGCATGGAGGAGATCGTGACAGCCCTCATCAGTGAGTCACCCTGGGCAGTGGGACCACTAGAAGAGAGAGCATTGGCATAGTTGTCTTCAGGAATAGTCAGTAAGGCCTTCCCATCTGCCACTCATTGCACCCCAGATATCTCCTGTATAGATGATCACATTTGCTGAAATCCCACCATTAATGGATCAGAATTAGGCTTTGAAGAGCTCTATTGTCAAGAGTTTCTTATTAAAATGCATGCAGCCCTCTGAGAAGCAAGTTGAGTTATTGTCAGTCTGGGATTAGTTGGCATTTCAGAAGGGAGTCCAGGACAAGCCCCAGAAAGGAATGGATCCTCAAATTTTGAGGTTCAGATACTTGGATAAAGAGACTTTGATAGGCATTTTTCCTAAATTCTCAGTCCTTGTACCCAGTGACTATCACAGTAATGACTGGGGCAAATGGTTTCTCAGAGAGCACTAGCTTACCACAACCTGCTTCCTGAAAATCACACCATTAGTCTCACATCATGGGGCCGTGAAAGTGCTGACTCTTCTAGGTTCACCTGTTCAAACATATGCACTGCTGACAGGAGAATCCTAGCTCTATATCTAAAATATGCTCTTTTCTTAGCTTTCCTTTGCTAAACTATAGAAACTGAAAGGGCCGGTCTGGATAACAATCCCCAGGGAATTGTTTTGTGAATGACCTCTTTCTTTTAAAAGTTCTGGTGGTGATCTGTGTTTCTATTTCTCTGTCACTCTCTTTATATCTTATTGAAATTTCATTTCATTTCATTTCATCAGAAAATGTAAGATTAACTCTTGGAGTCACCATAGCAGGGGTGGGAATATCTGAAATAGCAAGAACTTAGGGGCAACATAACACTTGGCTAGGAGTCAGAACCCTGGGTTTGGACTCTGGCTTTTGACTCATCCATTCAAGTGGCTATGGGCAGCAAGCCTGTGCCAGTGCTGTGTGAGATCCCACCACTCACTCCTTACCATGTCGCACTGTAAAACCCACTTCACAATTTTCCTAACATAAACAAGACATTGCAACTTGTTTCTCTCAAGGGTCCTTCTAACTCTAGAATTTGGAGATCTGCAAGTACTTTGCACATAGGAGACATCAGTTATGTTGACTTTATGGCTGATTCTAGTCATGGGGGCAGTAGCACTCACAGGTCAGGCTGGGAGAAATCAATTTGCCAATGTCCACATTTATTCAAAATTGAGAAAACATGGAAGCCCATTGTTGAAAGTCTTGGCTAGAGGGAGCTCAAGAGACCCTATAGTTCCTTGCATACTCTCTAGGTGAAGAAATCTAAGCCTAGAGAGGTTAAGTTACTTTCTCAAGGCCACACAACAGAATTAGGACTCACTTGTGCCAGGAGTCCCATATTCAACATCCACCAGAGCCCAGTAAGAAACATGAATGTGTTGAAGAGAGCCACATGGAAGAATAAAGGTGTTTGAGTCCTGTGTCAAATTGAAAAACCCATGTAGTGTCTAAAGGGATAGTCATTGGTAAATTTCAGTTGATTGTTACCATGTAGGAAAGGCGTAGACTTTTAAAGATAAGACAAAATTTGTAAATTTTATAGAAAATTTCTCAATGTATAAACATTATCAAATAAACAAAGTACATATAGTCCAAGTGACCTTTCACTATTGTCATATATTCATTCTTGCTTCACTTCCCAGGCTGAGTTTCTCCCTGGAGCCAAGGAGTCTTCCATTTATTTCATCCTGATGAAGATGCATTGTAGAGTCCACTCTGAGATTCAGCAGATATATTCCGGGCAGGAAGCCATACTTCTGTTCTTTGGTGGGAAATAGCCCTCCAACTTCTTGCCATTCCCTGGAAACATTTATAAATGAGTCACTGGAATCCTCAATTTAATCTTCCTAACACATCCCAGGTGACTCAGACTGTAGTTCAAATAAATGTGCAGCAAAATTAAAAGGCACTTAGATAGTTGTGTTAATAATTGCTGTGTCAGCAGCAATAGCAACTGAATGAGAATGAGGAGGAGTGTTTGGACCTAGAAGGAATCTTACAGAAAAGTGGGCCACCGAGCTCTGTAGACTCACCCAAAACCTTGGATGTAGGAAGGTGGCCTGGAAGGGACTGGGGACTCCAGTGATTTTCTCAAAATCAGAGGACGGGGCAATCACTAGTTAAAGGGAATCAGAGTTCTTAATATCTCAGCTAATCTGTTGTCCCAGTCCTGATGGTTGGATCAAGAGTTTGAGTTGTTTAATGGTCACACCTGGGCTGTGGGGAGCGACATTGCCCAGAGGCAAGTGTTATCATCCTGATAGAACTGAAACCCACATCTCTGGAAGCATCACTGGGAATGAGTCAAAGAGGCTGAGAGACCAGAAGCAACCTGGAGTATAAAAGAATGGGGACTTTGGAGTCAGGCAGACCTGGATTTGATTCTAGCCTCAAACAGTTACTTACTGGCCATAAGACCATGGGCAAATCACTTAATACTTGAATCTTCAACTTATTCACTTACAAAACAGTGATAAAAATGAGATTGTAAGGAGAAGTAAAAAAATATGTACAGCAGCGAGTAAACAATAAATGGTAGCTGCTGCTGCTACTACTAGCTTCTCTAAGACTCAGCTAGTTGTAAATGTGGACAATCATTTTCTACTTTGAGGGTATTCAGCATTTAATGGCACAGTGCAAGGCCCACTGCGGGTGTTTGACTAATGTTATTGGTAGAAAAAGGGTTTTACTGCTAAAACTAAAATGTAGGCATCAGAAGGTGCATTCACAGGTAGATGCTAGGAGGTGGCAGTTGCATCAGAACCTGGAGGTATAGACTGTTTGTCTAGAGGCAAGAACTAGGGACCAGGATAAAACATAGCTCAATTTTGTCTCTCGAACTTTCTTTCTCTCCTGAAGCTCTTTTTCTGAAGTATTGTCTTGCCTCTTGTGGTTTTGTGGAGATGTTATCAGTAGGAGAGGGCCTGGACCAAAGAAGTACCTGGATTGATTTTCAAGTTGGAGCGGAGGGCTAGACATCAGGTCTACTGAAATGGGGGAAGTACCATGGATAGAATCCATCTATTCCTCCTTCTGAGATGGGTGTCCATTCCAGGTTCTGTAGCCCATGAGGGATGTGTCAGGTGGTGGAAGGATGAGGTCACTCTGCATCTTAAAGGCCCTTAGTACAATTACAGATGGTAAGTGGGGGAATTTGGTTAGGGCTGAGCTAGGACCACTAGGAATAGAGATAAAGAGCCTTACATTCAGGAGCTTGGTATAGGACTTTCTTGCTGCCAGATTACCCTTATCCTGGGACCAAAAGGAAGCACCAAGGCTCTGTTGATGGCAGCTGGGGGGGTATAGTCTCTCTGTTTTACCTTTAATCTCTTCCTTAAGGCAAGGTTAGCAGCAGGCTAGTGTGCATTACTGGCGAAACAAAGGGACTGGAAGCTCCTTCCCACCTCATGGGCTTTGTATTTCTTTTTCCTTTGGTCTAGAATATTCTGTTTCTCCAAGTGTTTTTATGACTGGCCCCTTTCTTCCTTTAAGGTCTCAGCTGTAAAGTCATATTCTTAGGGACACCTTTTGTTGTGCATCTCAGTGAGCCACTAGATATGCTGTCTCAGTATTTGTTTGTTTTCTCCCTCATATTTATCAGACTTTGTAATTATGCATAGTAATTTTTTTCTTTTTTTTTTTTTTTTGAGACGGAGTTTTGCTCTTGTTACCCAGGCTGGAGTGCAATGGCGCGATCTCGGCTCACCGCAACCTCCGCCTCCTGGGTTCAGGCAATTCTCCTGCCTCAGCCTCCTGAGTAGCTGGGATAGTAATTTTTTAAAAGTTCATTTTCTTGCCCACTAGTAGAGTGTGAGCTCAACAAGGTCAAGGACCTGACCTGTTTTGTTCACTATGCCATCCCAATACCCCATTGACACCTGGCACATAGTGTTCATTCAATAAATACTTATTGGCTGAAGGAGTGAGTAGAGTTACATGTCATGTTTTAAATCCCAGCTTGGTCACCTGTATAGACAGATAATGTTCCATCTGTAGTAACCACTTTCCTCATCTGCAAAATGGGTATTGTAACACCTGCTCTAAAGATCTCCCAGAGCTATTGTGGGAACAAAATGAGACAACTGATATGAAAACACTTGGCATGGAAGTTATTTTCTTTCTCTTCACCATCCAGAACTGTGCCAAGAGGCCTCATCAGGGGAAGTCTTCCTGCTGGCCTCTGCGGCCCTTGCCAATATCACCTTCTTTGACACAATGGCCTGTGAGATGCTCCTGCAGCTGAACGCCATCCGTGTCCTCCTGGAAGCCTGCAGTGACAAGCAGAGAGTGGACACGCCTTACACTCGAGACCAGGTAAGATGCCCAGAAGGCACCAAGCCCAGGGCCTATAGCCGTGGAGACAGAGGTTAGGAGGCCAGCACTTAGTTTCTGAGGCAGGGGAGAGGACATGGGAGTCCTGTTAATTTTGCATGCTGTAGGACCATAAATATTCTCCATGTCTCTCATTGACCTTGAAGCCTCTTTGTGAGACCTCCTATCCCTTTTGCTCATCCCATTGTGAGCTTTACATGCTGCAGGAAGGTAAAGGAATATGTTTTCCATGTCTCTCATCGACCTTGAAGCCTGTCTATGAGATTTCCTATCTGCTTTGCCCATCCCAACCACTACAGGGCCTTCTTTAATCTCTTCAGATTGCCTGTTCTTGGAGGCAGAAAGACCCACAGAAAGTGCCTAGACCTCCTCTAAAGTTCTGTGTCCTGGTCATGTTGGTGCCCATCTGACACTGAACCCTGTAGCAAACCGCTTTCCCCTCTACCTTCATGAGAAACAGAGGCTTGGAGCAGAAACTTAATTTTGGGCTTCAGCCCCTACATCAGTCATAATTTTCTTTCTATATTTGAACTCCGTGAAAGATTTTCTTTGGTAGAAAAGGGGTTTTACTACTAAAAGTGTTTGAAAACATAGAATGAGGGGGTTTTAAAGGCTTTTTGAACTCTGATGTTCTAGAATTTTATCCTGTTTCACCTCTGGCCCCCACTAAGGAGTGGGGGTGGTAGATTAGGTGGGCTTTAGGTCTCTGTGAATTCCTCCCAGTACCTGAGCTCTAAGTTAGATGATCCTTTCTCCCCCAACTCAGCTTATTCCTGTCTGCATTTTAGCTCCCACACCATCGCCTCTTCCATCCTTGTCTCTTAACTGAAGTTGCTTTGGTTTCTGTCCCATGCCAGCAGCTCCAGGAAGGCCTTTCCTGATGGTTTCGGCTCTCTGGAGTTGCCTCCTTTTCTTAGCATTCATACCTCACAATGCAGTGTTGACTTATCTAATGACATTTATTCCTCTTAATTATTTCATGTGATTTTCCTCCTCTGAGGGCATGATCTATGGTCGGTGCTTCCCTAGGATTTTTTAAGGCCTCTAGCCTAGAGCTGGTGCCCTTGGTGAAGTTCCCCAAACTTTGTCAGTTATTTCTTATCCTTAGAATCACCTGTGAAAGGGCAGCTAATCATAGAAGCTTGTATTCGGAGAGAATTTTCTAATGTCTAAGCATTTGCATATGAGAGTTCTAACGATACTGTGACACTGGTGATATTTGCCCCATTTTATAGATAAGAATATTCTGGCTCAAGAAGATATCCCCAAAATTAAATGGTTGGCAGGCAGCTACCCAGAATTTAAATCAGGATTAAATTTAAATTCTCAGACCTTGATCTTTGACTCTCATCTGCTGTTGTCTTTGAAGAAAGGAGGTCATACAGCTGTTGAACCACAGACTGAGTGTTGGCCCTGCCTGGGCCATTTATCAATTGAGTGACACTGATCAAGTTAAAGGCACCTGGGTGTTAGTTTTCCATCTATTAATTGGGACATTAATGTCTATGTTGCAGGGTTATTGTGAAGGTAAGTGTAATAAGATATGCAAAAACCTAATATAAGGTTTAGCCCCTACTAAGTTCATAATAAATGGCTAATATCATTATTTTTTAAACCTGATGATCCAAGGAAGAGCATGAGTAGTGTGTTATCCAAAATCCTCAACTTGGCCTTCCAAACTGTATGATATGTATGATTCCAGACTTCCTTTCCAGTGTAATCTTTTACTTCTAGGAGTTGGATAAGTCCCTGGAGAGATAAGGTATGACAGTAACAAATAAGAGTGGTGGCCCCCTGGTTGGCCATTGGCCTGACTGGCTCCTGAGGGGGACATGCACCGTGTCTACTGTAGACATATCCTTGGTAGTGGGGAGGGAGACAGGAGGGCCCACCCCTTGTGATCCTCCTTACTCATGCTCCTGTTGTCTTCAGCTAGGTACCTCCAGTTGCTGGGTCTCTCATCCACCTGACATAATTTTAGATCCCTTTACCTTCAAGTGCCTCTCCTGTGGCTGACTCCAGTCATTTCATACAAGATTCAGTAGTGAGTCAATAAGACCAGGAATTTTGGAGTCAGACAACCTGAATTTGAAGATTTTTTGCTATTAATAATCATGTTACTTTGGGCAATTAACTTTGAGTCTTACTTTGTTAATCTGTAAAATGGAAACAAATAATACATATTTTACAAAGTTGAAATAAGAATTAAATAAGTTAATAAATATAAACTCTTGGTACAGACTCTGACACATAGAAACTATTAATTCAATGGAAGCCACTATCAATGTTATTATGATTGGCCTTTGAATGTGTGGCACACAGCACTGAACGGGAACCTCCAGAGAGGAGTTCCCTCATCTGTAAAAGAGTCATGGCTTCTTCCATTTTGGATGTCCTGTGACTCTATGTGTAGAAGCCCCCTTCTTATCACAAGGAGTGACTGGCCCACTCTTAAAGCCTCACTGAGTCCTAGGAAAGGGAGATCAGAGTAGGGAGAGAATGTGGTCATGCTGCCAGCAGATAGTTCTTTCTGTACCTGGAGTCAGTAGCTTTTCACGTTATTCCACTGTCTGAGCCAGGCATGTTCCCGCTGTCCTCAGGATGGCTTCACTTTCTGCCCTGGCTCAGCACAGTCACTTAGCTAGTGAAAGTGCACCCATTAAAGAAACAAATGGCTCTTTCCCATGGCAGCAAAAGGATTAAGGTGATCAGGGCTCTCTGTAATAACGACAAAAAAGATGAATTAGGCTTTGAAGTGCTCACCGCCCCCTGAAATACTTAGGAGATTAAATGCCCCATGAGGCTTCCGGTAATGAACCTGCCAATGATGCCAATGTTGTGTGGAGCCTCTTGGTCTTGGATCTATACAGACCACCTCAGTTTGAACAATGAGAACTTCTCTATCATCCTGGCAAGCCAGGTCCACACAATTCGTCCAACAGAAGCCTCATTAGCCATGCCTATCCTGTAGCCAGCCTTGGAGTGTGGAAGTTGGTGAGGGCAGCCTTGGACCTAGGCTTTTCCATCCCCTTCAGCTAATTTACAGGAAGTGGGCCTGGGCTGCAGCTGATATGCTCAGGCATTGAGAAGCCTAACAAGTAATCTGGATAGTCCTATGTTTTCATGCCCAGGAGATATTTCCAGGAGCCATCCTTCCGATGGAATCAGCTACAGATCTGACAGGGGGAGGTAGGAAAGGGGCTGCCTCCAGATGTATTGGTGAACATCTGCCCTGCCTGTCAAGCAGGGACAATCTAGGATGGAAGGGACCTGATTATCTTGTCTAATGTGTAATAGAGACTTTTACTGAGCCTGACTTTTTGTGGCCTTCAGGAATTAACTACTTTCATAAGGGCAGGAGTGCTAGTATATACTTCCCATGTTAACACACCATCTGTTTGGCATTTTAGAATGACTAGATTTTGTAACATTTCTGGGACTTCACTGTGAATACTATTTAACAGAAAATGCCAGTCACTAGAGGTTGCATTTTTGGCTCACATCTCAAAATCTCTCTATAGTTTATAAAGCTCTGTCATGTATATATGTGATATATTAGAAACAGCGCAGCTTTTTAGTTCAGACAGATCTGAGTTCACATTCTGGTTCTGCCATTTCCCAGCTACGTGACCTTGGACAAATCACTTAACCTCTCTGAGCAACAATTTCCTCATCTGTGTAATGGGGATAATAACATTTGCTCCCTCCCTCATGTCATTATGATGAGTAAATGGAATAACACTAGTAAAGTACTTAAAACCAAAGTGAATACTCAATAATGAATGGGACAGTGGTCTCTAACAGAACTGGAGGCTGGGATAGGTTTGAGACAGGGAATGTCAGCTTTGAAACAGGAAGGTAGGGTCAGGAAATGTAGTTAACATGGCGGCCACTGTATTGGTCTGTTCTCACATTGCTGTAAAGAAATGCCTGATGTAATCCCAGTACTTTGGGAGGCTGAGGTGGGCAGATTGCCTTTGTTTATGAGTTCAAGACCAGCCTGGGCAACATGGAGAAGTCCTATCCCTACAAAAAAAAAAAAAAATTAGCTAGGCATGGTAGTACACACCTATAGTCCCAACTACAAGAGATGGAGGTTACACTGAGCCAAGATGGTACCACTGCACTACAGCCTAGACGATACAGCCAGACCTTGTCTCAAAAATAAAAATAAAAATAAGCTTCCTGAGATGGGGTAATTTGTAAAGAAAAAAGGTTTAATTGGCTCACGGTTCTGCATGCCAAACAGAAAACATGAAGCTGGAATCTGTTTGGCTTCTGGAGAGGACTTAAAACTTACAATAATGGTGGAAGGCAAAGGTGAAGCAGATACATCACATGGCAGGAGCAGGAGCACGAGAGAGCAAAAGGGAAGTTGCTTCACACTTTTCAACAAGAACTTACTTCACTATCACAAGAACAGCAGCAAGAGGATGGTGCTAAATCATTCATGAAGGAACCACCCTCATGAATCACCTCCCACCAGGATCCACCTCCAACACAGAGGATTACAATTCAACATGAGATTTTTGGTGGAGACACAGATCCAAACCATATCAGGGATGTTATGTAGTATTGGAGGAATCCTGGATCATAACACCCCATCCTGACCTGTTCCAGAAACCCCTACAAAGCCAAGGGCAAACCAAGCACAGAGAATATGGTTTGGCCTTTATATGCTCTCTAACACTGTGGAGTTACAGCCCAACATTCGTGTAATCCCCAGGGTTAGGGAGCTGGGTCTCACCCAGGAGAGCCTTTCAGCCCATTTGCCAGCAGTACGAGACCTACATCCAAAACAGTTCTATGGCTTTTATCGTGCTTTCTCCTAAGCCTAAATTTTAGCCCTCCACTCTTGACTCTGTAGTAGTAAGAAGAGAATGCCAATCCTGTCAGTGAGAAGACGCAAGTACTGGAGAGAGGAAGCTGTATGCTTGTCTCTGGGCCTAGGCAGGTGCCCTTCTCCTAGTCTCTATGCCTGTCCAGCCCTATCAGGTCCTGGGCCCTGGGCCCTGGGCCACGCCTACTAGAGGATGGGAGAGGCTCAAAAGAGAACAGAAGAGAATAGAGCTATACCTTCTCCTGGGCTCTCTTGTTTCTCTGGCCTTGGAAAAGAAAGTATGTTCAAAGAGACCACACCTTTCCTCCCTTAGACCCCTCAATTCTACAAATCAATGTCCTTGTCTGGATTCTTTCTGCTCATTGGTAGAGGAAGTCGTGTGGAGGGAAGAGGGTGCAGAGAAGCACCGAGCTTCCCCTAAAGCAGGGGTATCCAATCTTTTGGCTTCCCTGGGCCACATTGAAAGAAGAATTATCTTGGGTCACACATAAAATACACTAACACTAAGGATAGCTGATAAGCTGAAAAGAAAAATCACACCAAAAAATCTCATAATGTTTTAAGAAAGTTTACAAATTGTGTTGGGCCATATTTAAAGCTGTCCAAGGCTACATGTGGCCTGTAGGCCATGGGTTGGACAAGCTTTCTAGAGGCTGAAAATGATTTTGCTTTTTGTTCTCAGGGCTGCAGTTCACATTGTTGCTGCAAATATCAGAGTTAACATGGTGATAATAGAAATCTAAATACTCATCTGGCAATTAAAGAGTAATTCAAATTACAGTCATATAAGCTGTTGGCCTTTTGGTCCTAATTTCTGCACAGCATAAAAGCAATCATAACTTTTCATGAAATATGTGCCAGGCTTTCTGTGTTGAAAGTTCTTTAGATCAGAACACCTGTCTACTTGGGTGTCCTGGGTATTCTTCACTTGCCTTGAATGCAGTCTGGTCTTCAGTATTAGTTTCCAGCAAGGCAATGCAGGCAAAGTAAGGGTGTGATCAGGGCTGACTGCTGAGACACTGTTAGGATGTGGCAGGCCTGGCTCATACCTTGGCATCAGCCTGCAGACAAATGTTTCCAGAAAACCTGCTCTGGGCCAGCATAGGGCGCACATTTTCCTCCATGTGCACTGACACCAAAAGGCTTCACCAACCTCCTTCCTACCACACAGGGGTATTTCTTCTTGAACCAGTGACGTGGGAGGTCCCCTGCTATTCTGGATCAATTTCCTGTCTGCCTCAATTTTCTTAATGTCTTTGGGGGCCAAAGAAAAAATAATTTGAAAATGCTACATAAGGTAGTGAACAGACACTTTGTTCCTCTGGTGGGAAGGGTTGTCCTGCTCTGGGACAGGCTCCCCTTTGGGAAGAATCTCACATTAGCAGCGTGTCTTGGCCATGCTGATGCTCAGCCACCCACCTTGCCACCCCCAGGTGCTGCATGTTGCTTGGCTGGTGTTTCTTGACACATCTTTCAAGGCTTGCATCCTTTCAGGTTCTCCTGTCCAGAGTGATCCATATTTGTTTTATTTAACAAAGGGTGCTTGATGAGATATTAATCACTGAATGCTCGTACAGGTCTTATAAGAGATGTTTTATTTATTTTCTTATTTATTTAGAGACAGAGTCTTGTTATGTTGCTCAGGCTGGTCTCAAACTCCTGACTTCAAGTGATCCTCCTGCCTTAGCCTCTGGAGTAACTGGGATTAAAGGCATGAGCTACAGTGCCTGGCTGAATTATTTTTATTTCTTGTGGTAGGGCCCCCAAGGATGTCTACATCCTAATCCTCAAAACCTGTGAATAAGTTACTTTATATAGTGACAGGGATTTTCTAGATGCAATTGAGTTAAGATCTTGACATAGAAATATTATCCTTGATTACCCAGGTAAATCCAGTGTTGTCACAGAAGTTCTTATAAGAGGGAGGGAAGAGGATTAGATTCAGAGAATCAAACGTGATTAAGGAAGCAAAGGTCAGAAGGATATACTCCCCTGAGCCAAAGAATGAGAGCAGCCTCCAGAAGCTGGAAAATAGAAACTAGGAAATTGATTTTCCCCTAAAGCCTCCAGAAGAAATGAAGATCTGTCAACACCTGGATTTTTGCTATGTAAGACTCATTTAGAACTTCTGACCTCTAGAACTGCAAGATAAAATCATGTCGTTTTAAGCCACTAAGTTTGTGATAATTTGTTTTAGCAGCAATAGAAAATGAATACACCAAGGCACAGAAGGTTAGGTAACATGGCCAAGATCATAGGAAAATGTGGTAGAGACAGGATTTAGAGGTAGGTTGAGCAATATATTTAGCTATTACATTATACTGACCTCTCACCGAGGGCCACTCTCAAGGGTGATGTCCTCTGGATTTACCAAACAACCGCAGGGCAACAGTGCCCTTTCACTCAGGTGGAATAGAACTTAACTGAACATCATCAGACAGGAATGAATTAGCCTGGGCTGGGGAAACTGGCTGGCTGGCTCCTGCACTCTACCCCTCACAGCACTGCTAGCTTGTATCCAACCAGGTAAAACAGTTGTCCCTAAATTCCCACCCATGGACTTGACTGTGAGGATAAACTATGACCTCTTTCCCCTCTACGTTATGGTGCACACAAAGATATTTCAAAAGCGGGGCTCAAAGCAGGGCATAATTGGCATTTATTCAAATTGTGCTTAATTGAATACTTCATCTGCACCTCCAGAAAGCCACATGGGGTACAGGCTCTGTAAAGAGGAAGTAATTTTCATTAACAGGATCTAAATTAGTCTGACACAAAGACCTACGTGGTGCCTGTGACTTGGCTAATAATTACTGTGTAATGAACCCGTTGCCGCAGACAAAGCTTTCCTTTTCTTTTCCTACTTTGTCCTTCCTTCCTTCCTTCATTTTCCTCACTCCTTGGCTCTTTCCTCCTTCCCTCCTTGCTTCCTTCCCTCCCTTCCTTTCTTCCTTCATGATTCTGCATATCAACTAAGTGTTTTTGTCAGAGAGGCCAGCTTGGTGATGGTGGGATGGCGCAGCCCCTGTGTGGTGGAAGCAGAGTCCATGCTTCCTGCTCACAGCACAGAGATAGCCAAATAAACTCTAAACCGACATGGACTTGGCTGTGTACCTCCTCCCTCATAAGAATGTGCACACAGTGCCTCTTGGGAACCTTCCATTTTTGATTGCATCTTCAACCCAGTTTTTCCCTCCACCTCATTCCACTGAGCCCACAAACACAACCTTAAAAATTGTAAAAATAAGTAAATAAATACATAAAAGATCCTCGAAGTCCTAAATCTCCTTTAGTCCTATTATCTTCCTAACTGCAAATAGGAGCTTGTCACCCCCTTCATAAAACATCTGGTGGTATGGAGTAGCTTTCAGGATAAAGTTTCTGGAGTATTCTCCTGTCTTTCCTCTAGCAACCCACTGTAGTCATGCTTATCCACCCAGGCCCCAGTGGGGTCTGATCTGGAAGGGGCTGTCACACACACGAATGCTGCAGAAGAATGCGGCATCGCCTTCCAACATGTGTTCAGAAGGAAAGGGGAGAGATGGTTATTCTATTAACATGGCAAGCTTTTTCCTTTCTGTTTAAAAGAAGGTATTTTTATATGTATTTGTTATCCAGAGTAAAATAGTAATATTTGTTATCCAGAGTAATTTAAATGTAGATAATACTCTTTCTTGGTAGACATCACATTACTATCCAGTTTCAGAATTTTAGCTGCCGGAATTGTACTCAATAGATTGTTAACTGCTGTCTCAGAGGAGAGGAGCATAGCCTTTGCTTATACCATCCTGCAAACTTTGAAGAAACCTTTCGAGAGAGAGAGGCTTGTGCTAGTGAGAAGTGTTTTTTTAATTTAATTTTATTATTTATTTTAATTACCACTTGAGAGTGCTGTACATTTCTGTGAAAGTGGGTGAATTTTCATCTTGCGACTTATATCAGGAGCAGTGTTGTGGGTATTATCTGAGTTAATAGGTGCCATGTTTCCAATATATTCCAGTAGTGTTTTGGCACTTTTTGCAATTTGGAGTCCCTGGAATGAGTCCCCTGTCAAGCCATTCCTTAATCCGGTTTGTGCTGTGAGTTCTGTGTTCTCCCTTGACTATACCAGGAGTTGCTGGTGAGGCTGGTTACAACCCATAAAGTTGTAAATGAGACTCACTGTCTACCTGGGGTCAGTACCCCTTTCCTACAGGCAGAGACTTTCAGTGATGACTGATAATTGAGGCTTACCACAGACTTGTAACATGCAGCTGAGTATGAACTTTCTCATCAGATTCCATATAATAGCCAATGCTTGGGGTATAATGCTACCTCTTCCTACTCATGCCCTCTAACGTGACCTTAGCTTTCATCCATTGCAGGTTGACAGTAGGTGAGGGTAATATTCAGGAAAGAAGCTGGGATGGAGGAACTCAATCTAGAGTAAGAGCTGTCAGGAGGACAAGCCAGCAAAGAGGAGTTAGGGGGCCAGGGACCTGCTGGTTCTGTCTGCATTTCAGGACTGGGGACCAGAGCAGAAAGACAGCTGGGCCCCAACTCCACCCGGGGTGATGCTAGTCTTTCCAGGGTGCCCTGAGGCCCTTGGAAGGCATCCTATGGCCATAGGCTGATAAATGGGCATTAGTCACTGGGGAAATACATCTGAGTGGCAGGAGCCCATTAAGATGGAAGAAAATACCATGTAAGGATAGGCCCAGTGGACAGGAAGTAGTCATGGGATAAAAGGAAGATTTGTAACCCCTGGCTGACCTGTCTGTAGAGAGTACCATTTGGATCAGGTGTGTTCATTTTCTCAGTTTCTAAATTCTCTTTTCCAGATTGTGACCATCTTGGCAAACATGTCTGTCCTAGAGCAGTGCGCCACTGATATCATTCAGGAGAATGGTATGTCTTTGCAGCAGTGTACATGTTATGTGGATTATCTGGATGTAGGGGACTGTGTCTTTGTGCTTGTGTGAATGCCTGTGCAGGTATGTAAATAGGTACACATATCACCTTGCTTGCATGAGCATATATGTATGTGCTTGTATGTGTGCAACTGGGCCTATATATGTATTTGTTTGCTTTTGTGAGGCCTAAGTTCTAGTGGAAGACAATGTACAAGAAGATAGAAAATGTCCAATGATGACAGTGTGACAGTGCCCTGGGGAAAATAAAGCAGGGAAGAAGAGTAAGGTAGACTCACGGTGGGGTGGTGGTGGTTGCTATTTTAATAGGGTGGTGAGGAGACGGCAAATATTTCATTATGATCCTCAAATTAAAAAATCTATTCCTCCCAACTGACCCCAAAACCTAAAAAGCAATAAAATAAATAAATGGGGGCGGGGAAAGAGAATTACTTTATTAACAGCAAAAAAAAAAAAAAAATCTATTCCTACCAAGTAATACATTCCAACTTTCAACTGTTCCTATGTCATTGGATTTGGCCTCAGCACAGGTCAAGACAACCTGAATGTATTGAGCCCTCACTGAGAGCATCTCTTCTCCCACTTGCTCCCTTGTTCCACCTTGTGCTGAATGTGTCACGAAGGTCCAGGTGGGGCAGGCCAGGTTTCATTGGCCTGGAAGCTGATGTAAGCCGTTTCTGCCAAAGGACAAGGCGGCTGCCTTGCAGCTGGGAGCAGAGATGGTGAGGGCTTCCTGTGACTGGGAAATAAGGGAGCAATTAGCAACCGGTTGGAAACCAGAGACGCTAATGAGGCGGAGTGAGCTGGGAGCCTGGGCCCGCTGCTTCTGTTCTTGCTCAAACTCCTTCTCCCAGGCTTCCCTGCTGTCTTAACAAACATACACTTGCCCATCCCCCATTGCTCTGTTACTAATTGAAGGACATCATTTTGTGTTAATTTTATGTGATTGAGCTAATAATGAGAAACTTTGCTGAGCCAGCTGAGGCCGTGAAGCTGAGCTATTGCATCTGTGCCCTGTTCTTTCAGCACTTATAGAGCCTTATGTTGAAGTGTTCAGTGGGAGTAGGTCTCCATAGGCCTGTGAATTTGGGATTGTAATATCTGGCATCTGTAGAGAGTTTTATGATTCACTAAGTGCTATTGACTGACTCACTCAGTCAACTGTTATTGAGACCTAATATGTGCCTGGCATTGTGCTAGACAATGAGAACAGAGAGATAACTAAGTCCCTGCCTTTGTCCTAGAGGATCTCAGTCTGGACAGAGAGCATAACTTACCAAAACTGACATATGATAAAAGTATAACATCTACAATAGAATAATGCAACAGAGGGAGGTTGGCATGGTGGTTGAGGTTGTAACTGAAACCATATTCTGTGGGTGTAAATCCTGGCTCTGTTTACTAACCATACAGCCTCTCTGTTTTTCCATCTGCACAATGAGAACAATCTCTACCTTATAAAGTTGCCGTAAGGATGCATGTTAGAAGATTGGCTGGCACAGAATTAGCACTAAGCTAAGCCTATCTCCTCTTTCAGGAAATAGTGGCAGTTTCATGGCATTTGCCTGAAGAAAGTTTAATGAGGGAGCTATTTTCAAAAGTGGGGCAGGATTTGAGTATTCAGCAATGGTGTCAATGCAACTGGGGTCTGATGGAAGACAGGCCTCTTAAGTCTGGACAGGGCAAATCTTGTTGCACAGGCTGGACTTTGAGAGTCCATGGTCTAAATCACAGTTCAAACTCAGATGTCTACACAATTCAGACAGGTAACATAAATGGACGAGGTGAGCTCACCAGAGACAGGATCAATCTCTTTCAGTGAGACTCTGTCTCAAAAAAAAGGAACTCATAATAAGCTTTAAGAATTTGTCGTTGTGCAGACATGAGGGCCTAGTTGTTGAAATTCAGGAGGCAATTTCAGAATTTAGAAATCTGGATTTTTACAGAAATCCTTCAATTAGCATACTATCAAAAATCTAAAAAAATTTAGACATTGTATAGAGCAACAAAACAAAGCAAAACTATATCCTTGGGTCATATCTGGCTTAAGTTCTAAGCTGGCAGGAGCCACGGGGTACAGAAGAGGAGAATGTGGGATGGGCAGTTGGGCAACAGCTCACATAGAAGGTGAACTTTCACTACAACCAGCAGGATGGAGTTTTTTAGATGGAGCATCAAGAGGGAAAATGACATCCCTTGAAGAAAGAAAGTGTGGGTAAAGGCAACAAGGTATGAGTGGACATGGGTGTGGCTTGTGGAACAATCAAAAGACAAATCTGATTTCATGGGGAGGTAGGAGGCTTCTCAGCAGAGATTATAAATCTCTGTCTAACTACTACACCCTTTTCCAGCTTGAGTTCTCTCTAAAACATTTGATCTAGTCATTATCAGCTAGTCATAACCAGCTTAGGTTTGGATCACCTGTTACCAGGGGGATTCATCACTACTGGACCTGTCTCAGATGCAGCCAGTATCAGATGTGAAGAGTGATGGAGAGAAACCAGTTATCTGAGTTTCTTTCATTTTTGTTTTCTTAATCCCAAATGTGATGCTACATCTGAATTTCAATAGCAGCTCCCCTAGCTACTAACCATGTGACACTGGGCAAGATACTTCACTTCTCTCTGGGCTTCAACATGGAATTATAGTGGTACCTAATTCATGAAGCTGCTGGAAGATTTTAGGGGATTATGCAGTTACTGTGCATTTAGCACAGTGCTGAGTATGTAGTAAAAGCTCAATAATAGCATTAAAAAATTAATATGTCTTCAGATGCTCCTTACAAGTATAGTGACTTGGTACATGGATTCACCCTCAGGAGTAGAAGGCATGGAGGAGTGGCCTTGTCCAGCTTCCTCCCTCTGGGTGAGACCCCTGAAGTCATCCTGACAACCTTTGCTTGCACCCTGCATCCATCTGTCCAGCTGGCCCTATGGGGAAGGCTCCATGCTGGGGGTAGGTACCAACTATTCCTTTTCTCCTGCCTAGGGGTCCAGCTAATCATGGGCATGCTGTCTGAAAAGCCAAGGTCTGGGACCCCCGCTGAGGTGGCAGCCTGTGAGAGAGTCCAGCAGAAAGCTGCAGTGACCCTGGCCCGTCTCAGCCGAGACCCAGATGTGGCACGGGAGGCCGTGCGGCTCAGCTGTGAGTAGTGCTTGCTGGCTGTGGCTGGAGTAAAGTATGGGGTTTGGGGGTGGGAGCAGCTCTGATTTCATGGTGGCAGCAGTGGACACAGGGCAAGGGCTGGCTAGGGTAAGCCCTATCTCTGGGGGCTAGAAAATGCTGGGATGGAGGCTCAGGGTACAGCCCCTAGTCTAGTTTGTAACCTGGGGCTGAAGCAAAAGGGAGAGAGGACCTAGAGAAGTGAAAGCCAGAACAGTGACTCACCTGCAGACTTAATAAGAACCCTATTCTTTCATTCACTCATTCATTGTTTCACTTGCTCAGTTATTTATCTACTCATTTGTTTACCTATCTACTCACTTGTTCATTTATTCATTAATTTATCCTTTAGTTCATTTATTCATTAACCCATTCATGACTTCATTATTAATTAATTCATTCATTTACCCGTTAACATGCTAATTCATTCAGTTAGTTACTTATTTACCCAACAAATATTTTCAGAGCATCCACCCTATGCTAAGCTGTCTTCTGAGCACTGGGCATGTAACATTGGATATGACATTGTTCTGATCACAGGGGCTCACAGCCTCACAGATGTGACAGATAAAGAGATATTCTCACTTCAGAATCATGGGAGTGATACTCAAAGCATGTCCGTGGTACATTTGACATGCAGAAGAAGTAGCCCGTGTTTATCTGTGTGGGTCAAAGAATGTTTTAACAAGGGGGTGAGTCCTCTGCTGTGGTTTGATGGGTAAATAAAAGTTACTCCCATGTGATGGCTGAGAAAAGGCTCTGCAGGAAGAAGCATGAGAAAAGGCATGGCAGTGTCGTCAATCATCCAGGTACCCCAAGGGACAGTGATAGGTGGCCTGGGGCAGCAGAGGGTTCCCACTCCTTCAGGACCTTACAGAGGATGGACATACAGACTGCATTTGTATACCTTCTACTACTATGTAATAAGGAGAGTTTTTTTTCCTTAAAGTTGAAAGAAGTCAGTCTGCATTGAAAAGCTAAGTCATTCACTTAACTCTCCCCAGTAAAGCCCTAGGAAATATTAGTAGAGTCTGTAGTTTTCTGTTATTTTAGCCACAATATATTTTCTGACCGAAACAGGCACTTGAGAAAAAAAGGTATAGCTAGGAATTTTGTCTGCTAAAGATTCAAATATTAAACATAGCTCTGGTAAAATCAGAAATGCCTGAATAGGAAGTCCTTTCTTGGTGACATGAGCACTATCTCTGCCACAGTTTTAACTAAGCTTGGTCTTAGCAGCCAGTGGCTGCTGTGGCACCTGTGGGTTTGGCTTGCATATTTCAGCCTGGCCTGACCCTGACCAGGGTCTGTTCATCACTGAGGGTGTAGAAAGTTTCCATCACAGACTCCCCCAGGTGGGTTCATCCCCCTTCTCTGGCAGATTGGGTGTGCAAAGGAGGCCCAGTACCTTTTCAGGCCTCGCTAGGCCCTATCCTGGGCTTGAGGCTCTCTGTGTCTCCTACAGGCATGTCCCGTCTCATCAAGCTCTGCAGATCCCCGTCAGAGAGGAACAGCAGTGACGCTGTGCTCGTGGCCTGCCTGGTGAGTTTTCAGTCTTCCCCCGGCTTTTCCCCTGGCCTTTGGGAGGCATACCAGGGGCATAGGAGAACTGGCTGTGCTGTAGCTGGCTTCAGTAAGCCATAAAACCTCTCTGGGCTTCAGCTTTTTTCTTTAGGATTGTGATCATTGTAATATTTGTTTCACTTGATTCATAAAATTGTGATGAAAATTATAGGAGGTCATATGTGTGAAAGATGGGGGCTGAGAAACCCCCTCTTCCCTCTGCTCTACAATTTTAGGAACCAGGAACCTTCGAGGTTCCTCTGGAATGCTAGCTAGTGGTATCTATGTCATGGTGCCTGCAGAACATATGAGCTAGGATAGGGATATCTCCTGCCTATTTCAAAGGTAATGAAGTGAGAAAAACCTCAATTTCTCCCTACAGGGAGCACATCTGCTGGTGCTTTTCCAGCATTGTAGCTTCCTCCTTCTTTGTGGGATAGAACGAGAAGGAACATGACAAGACAGAGTGGACTATTCAGCCAGCCACCTGGATCTTCACCTTGAACACAAGCAAGTGTGTCCTGGGAAGTCCCCACCCAACATCTTTTTGCTAGGGGTCCACCATGAAATAATCAATAGTGCCAGACAGAAAATGCATGCTTTGTCTTTATACTCTCCCTATTAGGGCCATAAGGATTCCTAAAGTGGAGTAGCTTCCATTTGGAAACTTTTAGGAGCAGGGAAGCCACTCTATAAACAGAACCGTTAACTTCCAGAAGAATGTGCTGGCTCTTGTGATCAAAGAACACAAGGGATAAGTGATGGATTAAAGATCCTTCAAGCTGTCTCACAGTAAAGTCCTCTCCTCTGCCCATTTTTAGCTGAGCTCATCTCTTTTCTGGGAGTTTCTGATGGGCATTGCGCAGTTGTAGAAACAGCAGGGCATTGCTGTCAATCACACCTGTCTTGGTCGTACCATTAATGAGCTGTGTGACATTTGATAAGTCACTCAGTGCTATACATTTTATTCAATAAATGTTTACTGAATGGTTCTGTGTTCCATTCACTGTTGTAGGCTATGGGGATACAGCTGCAGGAAAAAAGACAAAAATCTCTGTGCCCTCTTGCTGTGGCTTTTATTTTGGTGCATTCAAGGCGATCTTAATCTTTTAGTGCCTAACGATGCAAAAATACATTGATTGCCTTATCTCCTCATCTTCAGAAAATCCCTGATTCTATTTTCATGGTGACAACTCAGTCACCTGAATGGGGTTATCTTTCCCAGTTGGATTCAAGAAGAATCAGAAAGTGTTATGATATTTACCCTCTTTAGCCCATGGGGTAAATCATGTCCCATGAGAGTCGAGATGTGCTAGTTAGAGATAGTTCTGGGGGCTCTACTTCCTGTTGCTAGGGTCACAGACCCTGCTCGTTAATGCACAGAGATACACGCTCCTTCTCTTTGATCTGGCCTGGACATGACAGCCCCAATGACTCCCAGCAACCAGCTCAAGCTATCCTCTCTTTTCACTTGGTTGGCCTGATTTCTCAGCAGCAGGCTACCTGCCATGTCCAGGTAATGAGCGGTACTCCTGCCTTGTGCTTAGTATAACCTCATATCCTGGTGTTGCAGCATCCTACCTGTGTGCGTAGGTATGAATGCCCTGGAGTCAGACTCCTGTGTGATGTCTGGAAGGTCACTTTCCCTCCCTGAGCCCTAGTTTCCTTGTTTCCAAAATGGCGATCATGACACTTAGCTTGCAGCATCATGTAGGGATTAAGTGAGGTGCTATGGGGAGAGTCTCAGTGTTTGCATTCCCTCTTTCTTTGCTTCTTTTGCCATTCTAGATATTCCCCTACTCTTTTTGCTACCAGGGTTGAGAGGGGAGGGGCACCTTGTTCCCTCCTGTGTATAAGCTTAGGAAGAGGGAATAAATTAATATTCATCAAGCACTTAGGATACATTGCCTCAGTTAACTGGTAAACACTTGTAGGTAGGTGCATAGCTCACATTTAGTTTCAGGTTGCTATACAGTAGACCTCAATATTAAAGCACTTCATTTATTCATTTCTTTTCGGCCAAATTTATTGAGCCCTGTGCCAACCTCTGTGTTGTCTGCTATAGATACAGAGAAATAGAAAACAAGATTCTTACTTTCAAGGAGCTCAGGATCTAGTGTAGGAGATAAATACCTAACAGCTAGTTACAGTCAGGTGTGAGAAGCTCGAGGTCAGCCCAGGGGCCCTGGTTGCACAGGAGAGGGAGGGATGGACTGTCTCTGCTTCAGGGTAATTGGGGAAGGCTTCATGAGGGAGATGACAATAGGCTAGAGCAGGAAGTCACTTCAAGTCACAGGTAAGAGTATGAGCAAGGAGGAGGGAGAATAGCTCAGACGTAGAGCATTGGACTGCAGATTTGATTCTTTTAGACTCTTACCATGAGAATGAGTGCTACTCTGCAGGGATGTGCAAAATCTCAAGGAGCAGAGGGGTCATCTCAACTGGGCCATCATGCATCAGCCAGTTACCAGGCAGCCTGACTGCAAACACATCAGCTGAACCTGGCTTGGATCAGGAAAGCTGTGCAGCTGACACATGGACTTGTGAGCCACAATAAAATGCTTATTATTAAGTTTAAAAAATATGAGCAAGGGCACATGGACATAAACACAAAAATAGCATACTCATTGCTCATTGTGTGGGGAGCTGGGGAGTAACTTTATTCTGCGGGCACCTCTCTTTCCTGTTCATCCCCCTCGCCATATGTTGAATTTCTCAGTAGCAGAATTCCTATATACTTTTACAATATGTTCTCCCTCTCTTTTCTCCTTTTTTCTATAGTGCTTTGGACAGGACCTTGTTGAATTTGTGGATAAATGAATAGTTATTGCTGTTCTAAGATTACTCTAGGGATCTGGACACAATAAAGACCATTATTAAGATTATTAACAGCTTTCAGATGACATACATCTTAGTGATCAAGGTGCAAATAAAGCCCGGTGACCAAGAGATGAGGTTGCTATGGTGACCAGGTGACCAAGATGGTCACTGAGGTGCCGAATGGCCAACATGACAATCAGCCCAAATTGTCTGGTAAATGCACCACTTCCTGAAATGCACATTTCAACTTAGGTGAAGGAAATACATGTACCTGACATGGCCCAGTCTGACATGTGTCACATCTTCTGTCTTCTCCCCAGGCTGCTCTGCGTAGATTGGCTGGGGTCTGTCCTGAAGGCCTCCAGGACTCTGACTTCCAACAATTGGTCCAGCCTCGGCTTGTGGACTCCTTCTTACTCTGCAGCAACATGGAGGAGAGTTTTGTGTAGTGAGTGTGGGAGAAGAAAGACATTTGGCTGTTCTCACACCCCCTCTGAGTATGCACCAGTGAACACACCTGAATACATACCAGCTCTCCTCATCTCCTTATTTATACTTAACTTATTTTTTTGTGTGAAATAAACGGAGGGCAAAATCTTAAAGTAACATCGTCAAACAGTCTGTGGTCCTTGGGAATCTTCTTTGTTTTTATTTTTTGACTTCTGTAGCTTTTCAGTTGCAGATGTTGAAATTCATAATGGCTAATATGACAGATTGTCATGAGTAATTCCACTTTGTTTACTCTTACTATATAATCTTGCCTCATTTTTTTGAACTTTGGAACCAAAGTATTTCAACTACCTAGCAGGGTTTTTATTTTTTTTTAAGTTAGATTTGCTCTTCCCAAAAATCTAAAATGAATTTCATAATTGGGTAGACTATATTAGAAGGAAGTTTTTTTTTTTTTCTTTAATTAATGGAATCATGTAACATGTATCCTGGATTTTCTTATTAAATTGTATTTTAAACTAAGTTCTTGCTTCCCAAGGTTTCATTCCCCAAAAACTTTTCCAACTATTAAAAGTACATACAGAATTGTCTTGTTTTCATAGGTGCATAAATAGGTGAAGTTCTGAATGCTTTAGTGAGAAACCACAATGACTTTCAAAGATACTTCCAAAGGCATCAGAAACTCTGCTTCCTTTGTCTTCTCTGCTTTTGTGTAACCTCCTATTCAGCTCCTGGTGAATAGAATCCTCAAATGAGGTTTATTGAACGATTGCTCCTCAAAAGTATATTTGAAAGCAGTGGTGTGCCGAAGCCAACTCATGCCCGCTCATGAAGGACAACTGTGAGAATTTCTTCCCAAGCCTGCACTTAGTGACCTTGTGTTGGTAGCTGTGAGCTACCTCTTGAACCCTCCTGTTGAAATTGGCCATAGTGGGAGTATTTACACCCCAGAAATTAGCGGATGCTATAAAGCACAGCTTTTGCTTTTTTTTTTTTTAAGAGAGAGTTGGTTTACTGATATCACGGCTTGAAAGTATTGCAAAAATCTGTGTATCCTTCTGAAAATTTTAATGCCATCGAATTGTGATATAATTTTACACAACATAATATAATTGTGTAAAATTGTGATATAGTAATGTTTCAAGAAACATTTCTTAAATTCCCAATTACTAGTTTAAGTGAGTTAACCTATTGAACTAAGTCCTAGGCTAAGCATCTAACATGCATTATCTAATTTATTCCTCACAATAATCACATGAGAATCAGCATATTCATATATGTTATTATATATGTTCATATTATTAATTACTTTCCCAAGGTCACTAGCTAGTAAGTAGTGCTAGGATTTGAACTTGCCTATTACCAGAGCCTTTGCGCTAAAGTCATATGCTATATAGAAAGGTAATGTCTAGTTCCTCCCACCTAATGTGAGGATGATGATGATGATGATGGTGATAGCAAACACTTGGCCAGCATTAACCAGGTGCCATGCACTTGTTTGATATCATTCTCTCAACAGATATTAGCATTTATTACTACATACTCATTTTACAGAGAAGAAACAGAGGAAACTTGTTTTACAGATGAAACAGTGGAGCTGAAGTAGCACAAAAATGGCAGACCCTGATTTCAAACCAAGGTCTTCTGAGTCCTTATACAAAGCTTCCATTTTTAGAAATAAGTCTTATATATATATAATCTCACTGAGTTACACAGATTGTTCAGATATTGGGCAACTTTCTTTATGTCATATCAACAAATAACTTTTGTTAATATTATTATCTCATCAGAAAAGTTTTTAAATATTGGAAACCCATCAAGCTTGAAAGCATAAATTCTGTCACTGGCAACAAATACTGTCAGTTGTTTTCCTTGAAGAGACAGACTCACTTTGTTCATTTTTGAGAAAATGTCTGCCAAATGCCTCAGTCTCAATAATCACAGTTTGTCAATTATTCTTTCAAGTAAAAATAGTGTTCCACAGAAAAAGCAACTAGTTCATACTGCAATTCAAACAATCACACAAGTGCCTTTCTCTCAAAACTGACATACATTCTGCTTTGGCATACAGTAGAAATGCCTGAAGTGCAGTTCTCATATCACTCAGAATAGTTAAAATGACATGTACCAGGGGTCAGAATTTAATATACTTAATCATTTTTACTGCTTCATCAAGGATATTCCTAAGTGGAATTGGCATTTAAAAAATTTAAGTGTGTGGCAGTGAAGAATACAATAAGTAGAGTTTGGTACCAACATCTTGATCATATTAAGGTGCAATTTTACCATTGCTTTTGCACCATTAGTGCAAATGTCAATAATTGGAGAAAGGTAAATAGCTTCTTAGTATTTTTATAAAAATAGTTTTGACCTCACAGAGCTGAATGTGTCTTAGGAATCCCCAGAGATTAGGGGCCCTACTTTGAGAATCAGTGATCTAGTTTAATACTCATTTTATAGTGAGGAAACTGAGGCCTGTGTTGAGGGAAAACAAATGATTTTTCCCCAAAGCATACAGAATGAAGAATAAATCCCAGCCTTTTGGATTCAAGGTCAAAGCTCTTCCCATTCCTCAATATCAGGCTAGTTGGTCACTGATACCATAGAACTAGAAGATATTAAAGGAGTAGCTATTTGGACAATATATAATGTTGAAAATTTCTACACTGCAACCTTTATTGTGGTGGTGTGTGTATATCAGTCAGGGACCTGGTAGGAAACAGAATTTAACTCAGGTGGTTCAAATAATAAAGTTTTAGTAAAGAGACTACTTGGAGTCTTGAACGTAGAGTTAAGGGAGCTATTGAGGGATGCAGAGTCGCTCTGAGACTAACCACTACAGTAAGCCCTTACCATCCTAAGGGCAGAAAGGCCAAGTGACATAATAGTGTTACCAAAGTCCACTGAGAGCTGCCGTTGTGGCAGAGGGGCTATCCAGTAGAAGCCATAGGGACTCAGCCACTGTGAGGGACATGGAGTCTGGGCAGGAAGGCAGCAGGACAGAAATACCTGGATGATCTCGTCTCACCTTCTGACCTCCTACCAGTGCCTCCCATTGCCTCCCTTGGGAGATCTTGATCTCCCAAGATCTCACCATCTTACTCTGGTGAGATCCAGCTATGAAATCCTCTGGAACAAGCCTCTTGAGAAGAGAGCAAGGCAGAGAAGAGTAGAGATTGGATCTGGGTAAGGTTAGGGAGGGGCCAAACTGAGAATAATGAGCACATGTAGAAAAGTCTACATCCTTTCTTATTCTCCGAAAAGCAACCAGTATTACTTTCGGACTGCAGCAAAGCATCAAGTAACAGGATTTATGAGACTTCTTTTAAAGAAAGAGAAGGTAGAGGGGTTCTAGGTACAAGCAAATAATATCCCTCCTTGGAGCCTTGCTTCAGAAAGAAGAACCAGGAAGGATGCAGTGGGGGATGGCGGCACTTGGGGAAAATGGAAGTAGCTTGTGTCCCAGGCCTCAGAGTAAGGAAGACAGAGATATTCAGGGAATCACAGAGTGATTCCAGAGGCCCAGGAGTTGGTACAGAGCTGAATCAAGTGCAGCAGACTGTTAAAATCACAGAAGGTCTATAAAGAGAGGAGTCATTGTGGTTGATGGTTGCTGGAGATGGGACCAAAGACTGTGGCTAGGGGTGTGCTCCAGGGAAAGGTGTAAGAGTCTTCACCTTCCACACCAGCCTCTGGCTCTGGCCCATGGTTTTTCCATAGTAACTTTCACCCTACTGACTCTCTACCTGCACTCTGTACAAGACAACTACTATACCAGGCAGGACATTGGCCAGCTATGTGGCCTTAGGACTTCATGATTGAGGCCATGGCATAAAATCCTCACTGGTCAGGTGTAGCCACAAGTTAGCTCAGCTTACACAGATCAGCTTGGAATGGGAGTGGCTGATTGATTAAAAGTTAGGATTTCCTTGGCCTAAAACACACATATTGCGTGAAATCTTCCTTTATCTCTAGGCCCTAGGACAGGATTAAGGCTGGGACTGGGTTTTCAGGAAGTCCACAAATTGAGTAGAGTCTATATCTATATACACTGTCTAGATGGGGAAATCTGGACACCCAGATTCTTTAGAATAAGTGGGCAGCATGGTGTGGAGAAAGTCACCACCAGCTGGAATCAGGATTCCTCCTTGAGTTAAAAATCCTAGCTCTACCACTTTACTGTTGTTGACTTTGGACAAGACTTGGTACCTCTATGAGCTTCTGTACTCATCTGTAAAGTAGGGATAATGCTCCTGCCTGACCTCCCTCTTAGGATTAGGATTAAGATTAAGGGAGATCATTTGTATGGAAGCTCCTAGTACACTATAAAGTTTTGTGCAAATGTAAGTTGTTTTCATCATTACTATCATTTTGGAAAGGACTCTGTAGATAACCCAGTACTTCATTTTACTTAAGCTGGGCTCCCTTGACAGTATGTCTTCTAACAGAATCCTCCGTTATTGCTCACACATCTCCAGTGAACGTCATTACCTTCTCTAATATTTGACAATCTTCAGGATCAGGAAGTTCCACCCTATGTTAAGCCATACTCTGAAAATTCATCTGTTGTTCCTAGTGTTGGTGTCTATCTGTTGGCATGTTATCTGCTGCACAAAACAAATTACTCCCAAATTTAGTGGCTTAAAACAATAACAACTACAACAACAGCAACAACAACAACAACAACAACAACAAATTTATTCTCACATTTCCTGTGGGTCAGGCTTTCAGGAATGGCTTAGCTGAGTGGGTATTTCTCAGAATTTCTCATAAGTTTCTAATGAAGATGTTGAAAGCATTTACAGAATGGCAGAGCAAGGGCTCCCAAAATCTGCTTCTCCATAAAATCAGTGAGAACACTGTTAAAGATTGTAAAAATCAATTTTTTCAGAACTTTGACAATTAATTAAAGGCTTACAATAATCCATGGAGTCCTAAAGAAAAAGGCCTGAATCTCTGTAAGAACAGTGAGCTTTGTAGTGTTTAACCTGTCTCATTCTCATACATCTCTCCCTAGCTTCAGTGTATTCTTAAAGACCAGCAGCCTCGAAACTACAATAGCTGTGAAAAACAGCAGCCTAGCGGCTCCTGGAAGAAGAAAAATAAGTTGAAGTTTCTGTAAAAATTCCAACTAGACATCCAAATGCAAAAGAAATCTGTTTGGAACGCTACATTATGCCAAACACAAAAATTAACAGAAAATGCATCATAGACCTAAGTATAAGAGCTAACACTATGCAAGTCTTTGAAGTAAACATAGTTGTAAATCTTCACAATCATTAGTTAGACAATAGTTTCTTGGCTATGATGCCTAAAGCAGAAGAGACAAAAGAACAAATAGATAAACTGGACTTCACCAAAATTAGGAACTTTTGTGCTTGAAAGACCACCACTAAGAAAGTGAAAAGGCAACCTATGACATAGGCAAAAATATTTTCAAGTCATATATGTGATAAGGGATTGATATCAGATACAATAAATTCTTAAAATTCAATGATAAAAGCACTACCCAATTAATAGCTGGACAAAGGATTTGAATAGATAGCTCTCCAAAGGAGTCACACAAATGGCCAAAAGGTATGTAAAAGATACTCATCATCAGTCATTAGGGAATAGAAATAAAAATTACAATGAGATAACACTTCATACTGGCTAGGATTGCTAAAATAAAGAATAGACAATAACAAGTACTGGTAAGGATATAGAGAAATTATAACCCTCATAAATTGCTGGTGAGAATGTAAAATAATGCAGCCACTTTGGAAAACATTCTTTTAGTTCCTCAAAATATTTAACATAGAGTAATCATATGACCCAGAATTTCCATATATATGTTCAAAAGAAATGAAAATGTATGGTCACACAAAAACTTGTACACTAAGGTTCATAAAATCATTATTCATAGTTGCCCAAAAATAGAAACAACTCAAATGTCCATAGCTGATAACTAGTTTTTAAAAATGTAATAAACCATAAAATGGAATATTATTTGGCAATAAAAAGAATGAAGCATTAAAGTAGGCTACAACAGTGATTAACTTTGAACCCATTATGCTAAGTGGAAGAAACCAGTACAAAAGGCAACATATTGTATAGCCATGCCTGTATGGATAGGAAGTAGATTAGTGGTTGTTAGGGGCTTTGGGGAGGAGAAATGGGGAGTAAC